GGGTGGGGTGTAGCGGGGGGGGGGGGGGGGAGAAGGTAGAAAGGATGCAGGGTCGTCGGTATCTGTCACTCGAGCGCGACAAAAGCGAGTGCCTCGAATGACTTAAAAGTCTCGGATGCTCGCGCGTCCCTCGCTGGGGCCTGTCCGTCAAACGGCGGTCATCCATCACTTCAGCCACTCTCTCCTCCCTTCCTTCTTCTTTTAACTTTCTGCGCGCGTGTGCCCCTACGTATTCCGATTCGTCGATCAAGTCGGCTCTTACGCGTAATGCCCGACAAATTATGTCGCGATTCCCGTGATTTATCTCCTTAAGGACGAAGTATCTACTCCCTTGGTGCCCGCGCTTCCTTACAGCCATCAGCCATCCCTCACCCCACCGCGCCCCATCCACATCCAAGGGAAAAGAACGATAATTGCGATAGTCGTACGACACGTTAACGTGGGACTTTGATCCTTTGAATTGGCAGCTTCTGGCTCACCCAGAATTTGTTATTGAGTTCGCAAAATTGACGATTTCGATGCTTTCGTAACGAGGAGAATGAATGACGTTTTGTTAATCGGGCTAATCAATAAGTAACGCGCTTCTCATTTTAATTGACGGGGCTTTTGTATCACCGTGTGTGCACACTCGCGATGAAAATCCAAATGTTAAACTGATTTCCAGGCATTTCATTCGTTTCATTGTCGAATTTAATGTAGGTACACACGCCTACGCGCGCCATCCCTTTAATGGTCAATTATGGCTTCTCCCCCTCGTTTCGTCCCCTCTCGTTCAACCAACCATTTTTATTCTTTATTCGCTTGGTACGCAAATTGTCCAACTACCAAACTAAAAGTATGTTAAAAGCATAGATTGGGACTAAGGAAATGCCTAATTTAACGTTAAGGAAATGCCGTGGGTAATAATCCTCGATCTACTAGAAATTCGTCCAAGTATGATTGAAATTTGAGATCTGCTTGTATTTCAACAAGACAATAAATGCTTTACCGCCCAATAAATCAAATCCTCCCATAAATTACCGCGAAACATTGCTCCTACATTTTACAGAGTTAACAAGCAGCTGGCAGTATCTCAAAGTTCTCGATACAAGGCCATTGAGAGGGAACTCTCGCCAAAAAAAAAGAAAAAAAAACGGAAAGAAAAACGAGAACAAAAGGGGAGAAAAAAAATTTATCAAACATCAGTTTCTCAAGGAGCGAGCGATACTTGCCAAACCAATCAACTAATCCGTGGGGTCAGGACCTCATTAAAAAAAATGCCTTCCTTGGTGCTCGAATTCTAGCGCGAAAGGAGCTGGACAGCAGCATAGTCGGGAGAAGAGACCCTTGTCAGAGATATTCGGCGGCTGAGATATGGATCGTTTGCAAACTCGTTAAATAGCCAGAAGAAAGCTCCTAGGCATCTATGACCAATTTTTACGAGGAATTATATTTTATGGAGAGTTTTATCGATAGTTCATGCGCAGCTCTGTGTTTGTGCGTCTACGTGAGTATGCAGCGTAGATCCTTATTTCTGCCGCGGTAATTACCATTCGTCGTGGCTAAGCGTTATTTCGTAGCTGTGCGATCTCTCCTGGAAGTGCTAAAACATGGTTATTTAAAATTATTTCATCAATCGTTAACGGGACGAGGGTGGGATGGGATGGGATGGAGGGGGGGGGGAGAAGGAGGCGAAACGAAAAAGAAAATAAAATATTCTAAATAGTTGATAAAAATATATACATATATATATATATATATATCTATTTTTTTTTTAAGGACACCGTTAAATGATAATGAGCAATAAATTAGCAGAACCTCGGTTATTTAAAGAACTTCTATATCTCTTTAAGCGCGCTGTCCAAGTGACTATTCCTTCTTTATGGTGAATATTAAAATTTTCAGTATGATAGATGTTCGGATATTAAATAAATTTGTGAAAGAAAAAAATCCTATTCTTTATAATAATTGGATAGTGAAATTACAATGAATTGTCATAAGAATTATAATGAAGTATTGGAGAATATTGAATTGGAATTATCTTTATTGTAATATTATCGAATAAAATACATTTTATTATTTACAGGGCATAATATAATTTTTTTAATGCCCAGGTTAAATGTAATAATAAGAATCTCAATCTTATTACGTTGCTTATCGTAATGAATTTTTTGTCTTTGCTTTCATAAACTCGTGCTCGGATTAATCGACTCGACGCACCATCGACTCATATAAAAATACGCATTTCCCGTGAGAACGAGTGCAGCCGGTCACATCCGGATAAAATCCCATGGAAATATTATCGAGCTAGTCAACGGACGCTTAAGCCAATCGTTAATTTTCATGCAAACGCAAGAGGGAAGAAAAAAGGCAAAAAGCCGTGCTGCAGGTACTAGGAGAGAGGGGCCACCAAAATCGATTTCGTCCTGCGACCGCGTCACACTACGAATGAAATATGCCTTCGCATCCCGATAAAAAGTCTACGCACAGAAATCGAATAAGAAATCAATCAAAAGGTCGCGGCCACGGCTTGGTAACGACGTGACCGACTACTGCTTCCGAGTCTCCGGGTACAAGGACTCGGCACGGCCACTCTCTGGGACAGACCTCCGGCCCCTTCCCACCCCACCCTTTGTAACCGCGCTTTATTCATAAAGCCGAGAAAACTCGGCAATTAGCGGTGCGAAAGTCGAGCGGTACCTCCTCCATTGGATTACCAATTGATTTCATTCGTGGCATTTGTTTCTCTCTCTCTCTCTCTCTCTCTCTCTCTCTCTTTCTCTCCCTCTTCTCCACTTTTTCGTTTGATTCCTATGCAGAAGGCGTTTGGCCTGCGCTGCTGCTACTGCTGCTGCTGCTGCTGCTGTTGCTATCGTGTGAAGAACGCGCCGGAGTTTATTAGAATGCGCGACCGTTAAATCCGTGAATCGTGCAGATGGTTGTTTTCGATCGAGGCAGGCATCCACGTGGGCGGAGCCTGGCTTTGATTAGAGGTACGGACGAATGGTGATATTGAATTTGTGTAGTCCTCTTGTGGGAGATGGATTTCCCAGACGCTGTGTTTATATTGATTTCAAGCACTTATGGAACTCTGGAACTGTTTTCTAGATGGTACATGGGTTGGCGATAGGAGGAGAGGGGAGCCGCTACTGCACGCGATTCCTAACTGATAATACAATTTATTAGGAATTTTTCATAATTACGAAAATTGAGACGAATAGAGTTCCTCGTTATTTCGTTCGTAAATGAAAATCGTAAAATTCAATTAATTAGCATTTTCCATTCAATAAAGTACATTAAAAATTAAAACCAAATTAATAATAATAATAATAATAATAATAATAATAATAATAATAATAATAATAATAATGATTAAGAAACAAAAATAGAAAAAAAGTAACAATGAATATTGGTAAGATAATAAAGTGATGTGGTGGAGAGCAGAGGGGAATAAGAATTGTGGACCATAGTTATGCGAATACTGTTTTCGAAGGAATAATGGGAGAGCCCCGAATTCTAATAAGCTTCCTGCATGAAATTTACATAATTCCTAAAAACAGTTACTCCCTCGGAATATTAACTCGTATTGGAAAACTATTGCTACAAGTTTTATTATCTAGCTATAAATTTCGTTTAGTTATATTACCGAGGCACGTTAAAAAGAATTAATCTAGAGATACTAAATTCACGGCTTTTCTGTAACGGCCATTATCGCATTATAATATGCTCGTAATCAGCATATTTTCATCGAAACTTTTATAAATCAACCATTTATGGAGCAAATAAATAGCCAAAGGTATGCAAATGACAGTGACAGCAAATGAGTGTTGCGATCGCGGAACACAATCTTTAAATTGACAATCGTTACAAAATTCTTCTTGCAAATATTTGCTTTTAGGTATTAAGTAATACAATTAGCAACGACAATTATAAGAAAATCTTTTTTTTTTACAGATAATTAAAGCCATTTATTTATAGGTAGTTTGTATCTTGTTTAAAGCGTACAAATATTTTAATCGAATTTCAATAAATTTTTCTTTATATTATATATACGAAATACGTTCATTACATTTAACACAAATTGTATTCGACGCATTGTCCTACTCTAGTTATTTCATATTCAAAACCATACATTTTTATATGTGTGTGTAAAAATTTTTTAGAATAATGAATTAAAAAATATACCGTCCTCGCTTTTAATTGTCTAAGATGTATTTCTATTGAAGAGAAAATGAGCGAAACTTACTCGAGCTTATTTTAAAGTTTGGAAACTTTGGACTTTAAAATGAAAACATCTCGTCAATAAAAAAAAGTCGTACTAATGCCATCAAAACTTTAAAAAATCGAAGAAAAAGAAGTCCCGTTCGTGCAACCAAATTAATTCCAAACTACATTGTTTTTCTTAATGTTGAACAAATGGGTAATTATGTTCTAACTTTGCGCTGAACTTTGTGATTTTGTCGACCTACGAACGATTAAATATCTTTTTAATTTACGTTTGCGATGTATTTCGCATTGATGGAAAAGTCTGACACAAAAAAAAAAAAACACAAATAATAATACAATGTTCCAATTGTATACGATTGAAAAATCCGAGTGCCCATTTCCCACTTCCACTTGTGATCCACTTCCCCCTCTCCCGCTCCCTTCCAAATCACAAGCTGCGTCGTCGAAGCACAATTTAATCTCCAAAAATAGGAACTCTAAGACTCGTGTATGATTTCAGCTGCCGTACACGGTGTCGGTGGACATCAGCAACCCCTCGGCCCTATCGAGCTCGCTCAACATCTCCGACGCGGGCGACATCCCCGTAGGCGGTATGCAGACGTGGGCCGTGACTCTTCACTGCGGACCCTACGACGCGGAGGTCGACCTCGCGCTACGTATCAACGTGTCGCTATCGAGACGCAACAACACCAGCCTCGAGTTCAAGCGCAAGAAGATCTGCCTCAAGGACAAGAGCAACTACCCGGGCCCGGAGGAGGTCTCCGTCGCTGCATCGGGCGCGAGCTCCGGCGGTCAGGTGTTTTATGCGGCCGTCGGTTGCGCCTGCGCATTCATTGCCGCCATCTGCGTCCTCGTTCTCGCGTACTACGTCAGGGATAAGAAGGCCCGCAGACATAGGGAGCCTTTGCAGTGAGTCATCATACCGTTATCATTATCGCGGATAGTACGATAGTGGTGAAGTTGCCTCGATCCCTTAATTCAGTTTATGGGGTGGGGTGGGGTGGAGCGGGGGGGGGGAGCAAATTTCCCGACGGTTTGAAGCTTGGTTTACTGGTAATGTGATGTGGAATTACGTAAGCCGCTCGGGCTACTTGTGCCGTTAATTAATGCCACTCAATATACTCTGCAATCATAATTGAAGATAACGCCGGCGTAATATGCATATTTGATCGTTTCTGCATTTATTCTTCAAGGCTTATCGTTTGTAGGCAAATATTTTCCTCGGCTATCGTATTTTACAATATTTAACTAGGCATTTGAAAGTGATTTATTATTACCAGAGGCTGGTATAACATATATATTTCAACTAAGAAGAAAATCGAGCCGTCTTTCTCTTACATGTCTGGCGAACAATTTTATCCTTACCATACAATTTATATTTATATTTATTTTGTAAATGCACACTTTTATCTGTCGGCAAAATATGTCTGCCCTCGGTCTTCGGTATCAGCTGGTCTCGGTCGTGACTTTTTTATAAATAGAAATAGTCGTTAAAATCTTATGGAAAAAAGGTATTAGATATTTTGACGCTAGAATTAGTCTGTTGCCAGCGCGCACACGTTCTTAAAATTCAAACAAAACTATTTTTACGGGCAAGTGATGATTTAAGATTTTCTTAACGCTAATACGAATTATGTCGTCGGCCTATCGCGCGCTACGAAAATAACGTCTTTTCATCTCAAAGAGTAAATGAGTAAATTATCTGCAGAAATTAACTTCCCAGCCCATTTAACAAGATAATACTTAAAATTGGCAAACAATTAACTGGTCGGCTTGAAGTATCAAGTCTTTAGAAATGGATTCTTAATATTCTTTACGAATCTAATGGAGGCTAAAAACAATCATCCTGTCATAAATTTTTACTCGCATAAAGTGCGTTTATACTTAACATTTACTTATCTATTCACGACATCGAGTAATTGAAATAACTGAAACTAATAACAAAAAATGATATATGCAATGTAAAAACCGTATTCCGTGAAAGGCAGACTATTGCCATTGCAAAAATTAATCCATAATCCAGAATAGTCTCAATCTCTCTCTCTCTCTCACACACACACACACACGCACGCACGCACACTCACGCACACTCACTCACTCACTCTCTTTCCCCACGTAATAAAGCGATTGTTGCTCGCAATGGATTCGTCGGTTTCCTGCTCCTGGGCAATCCCGCAAAAGGCCATTACGCGCTAGCGGACGCGGATCTACATTCCATCCTCGATCTCATTTCCAGGGAATCACGGGGTCTCGGCTCTGCCTGCAGCGTCGAACGAGGTACCGGCATCGGACCCGCACAGACGTTCCTGTCGCCAGAAACACCGCCCCCGGCCTCCGCCGCCTCCGTCTCGACCTACCGGAGGCTCGACGAGCGCTCGAACCGCGAGCTCTACGAGAAGATCCAGGAGATCACCGTACAGAGGTACGTAGTGGAGCGCCAGGATTTGGCGGGCTTTGGGAATGTGGAAAATGATGAGTAGCGGAGTGATTGTAGGATGTGCGTGCGTGTGCGTGTGCGTGTGTGTGTTGGGGCGTGGCCGGCGGGCGGGGGGGGGGGTGTGAAAGAGAACGGTATGTGGGTAGTTGCGGTTTATTCGTAAAGGAATTATTACAGAGTGGGAATAAGGGAATAACCACAACAATGTATACGTAATTATTATAAAATCATTTGTCGATAAAATATTGAGAAAGAAACACTAGTTACTCGAGGGGTGATGTACGAATTTTGTAAAAAAAAAAAGATGTGAAATTAAAAATCATAATGCAAAGATGAGATTTCAGTGGTTATTCAATGAATTGACATTTAGCAATTAATAATTACAGTTTGTAATTGAGCTGTAGAGAGTGTAGAAATTTTATTTACTAATACCGGATTAGTTTGCCTAAACTTTTTTTTTATTTCCCTTTAGAGGTACAAGGTACTTTTAGAATTTCTGAAAGGAAACTTTTTAAAGAAAAATGTTATAAAAATTTGCAAGAATTATTCAAAAAGTTATTATTGAATATCTATACAATCGTGTGTGAGTCGAATGAGATAATGATTTATTACGTTCATGCTCTATATATTCACGTATGTAGTTCAATTGGTCTTTAACCCTCTTATTTTATTAATTAATAGAAGTTTCAATGAATCATTATTTTTTGCTTTTTATTTTGTCGTTATTCGTTTTTTTTTTTTTTTGCTTTTGGCAAAAATATCCATCGTTTACTCATTGCTATACAAATATTATTTTATATTTCTTTAATAAATTTACACGAATACATTAATAATAAGTTTATTTTTTCATGAGAAATTGTTGCTATATAATATAGATAAAAAAGAAATAGTAAAAACTGCTAAGCTTTTAGCGTTTAATTAAAAGAAGTATCCAATTAAACATTGAGTGTAGAAAGTTTTTTATTCAAACCTTTTCGTATATCAACAAAGACAGTAGTAGTACGTACGACTTCAGTTACTTTTCAGAGTCGAATCAATCCTTTATAATTAAAGAATTTTCTATATATTTCGTACTCTATTTTTTGCATTCCTACAAACTTGTTCAATTAGCGTTTTCCACTGACGTTATCAAAGTTTCTTTAAAAGCCATATCCGTTATAGAGTTAATGGACTTTGCGAATAATACGGAATAAGCTATTTTATATCTCTTTAGCTGAGTGGAAAAAGTACACTCAATGCCTGTAATTTTCAGAAAAATTACTAATACCACACGACGGACTTTTAAAAGTTGAAAATATATATATATTTTTGGCAGCCCGTCTCACACACACACTCTCTCTCTCTCTCTCTCTCTCTCTCTCTCTCTCTCTCTATCTCTATCTCTATCTATCTATCTATCTATCTATCTATGCAATATATAAGAATTAGATAATCACGAAGGATTTATTTATAACTACTATTATTTTATAAATAGTTAAAAATGAATATTTCAGAGTTTCGGAAACTTGGAATTGCAAATGCTGAAATTTGAATAATTATGAGAGATATTTTTCAAAATTCTTAATCAGATGATATACCTAAAATTTTATAAGTACTACAAAGTAAAAGCTTTTTAAATACTTTATTCGTCAAGATTACCTTCGTAAAAACAGCGCGGCAAATTGTATATGTAAAAAGCATACATTAAAGTGAAAAAGATAGATATAATACGTAGAATTATGTTGAGCTTCAGCTACGATACTTTAACTACAATTTCTGAAAGTTTTTAATCTCCATGCTCATCGTAATTTCATTAATAGAATTGATATTTATTCTATTTTAATATTATTAATATTATCCGTTGTAATATTCAAGATTACTTAAATATATGGAAGTGTGAAGAACAATAAATTAACACCTTAAGCAATCGGATTTTTCCACATTTAATCTGCTCGCTAAACCTTTCATTAATTAATTATGCACATTTATGTTAAAATAAATATTGTCGTGTTCTGTAAATAGTCCATATTAAATTGAATTTAATCTTAGAGTCTTTTCAAATAATGTGATATTTGTGGCCAAATGTTATTCAATATTCGTATATTTAACCTAAATTATGTAAATATCTTTTGAAAGACCGTTGCCTTTAGAAATTGTTTTAATGTCTTGTGTTGATGCTTAAAGGTTTATGATTATAATATTTTTTTAGACAGATAAGCAATATTAATCTCTGTTAATATTATTGTTCAGGAAAATTTATTAAAACATAATAGAATATCTAATGTTCAAATATTTGAAACCAGAATCAATTATTTATCATATTTGTACATCAAAGTTTCTTAAACCAAAACCCATGACTTAAACAGTATATTACTATATATATATATATATATATATATGTCACTAAACGCCGTAATTTCTACAGAACATCAAACATACATTGAATATTTCAAATAATATTAATAAGCAGATAAGCTCAAACATAACATATAACAACGTTGTAAGCAATAGTTTATTTGTAAAAATCTCGACGAAATTTTAATAAATCATGTATTTTCAACGTGACACATCATAAAAATTGCATTGGCAAACCCACTCATATATATAATTGAAAACTCTATTAGTTAGAATATTATGAATACGTAGTTAGAGAGAACTCAAATTCAATTTGTCGTTTCAAACAGGCATAATTACTGCTTTCTAATCGAATTCAAAGGCCAAAATAATAGATTTCATTTTAAAAATAAGTCGATTGCCAAAGCAAGTTATATTTGCTTTTACAATTACAGTAACAATAGCTACTTAGTTTATATTTATTAAATTTACCACTATAATTATATTTATATATAATATAACCATTATAATTACCAATGTGCGTGTTAATTTAATTAAATTGAAAATCATTTTTAACCGAGTCGTTTCGCTTGGCCTTTCGTTAATCATCACGAGTGCTGCTCATTTAACGGGAACTAGAAATTTTACATAAAACTAACTCTAATAAAAATATGCACGACTTTTTAATATCATTTATGATGTTTTGAATGGACAATTTATGTCTTTAAAGTTTTAGTTCTTTTTACAAATAAAGTGTCCTTCTTTCCGTGATTAAGATGAAAGACCAAAGCTAATTACAAAGTGAAATACATTTGTTTGTTGTACGTCGAGCAATAGGTTTCCTAATGAATTTAGTTACGTTTTTACTTCTTAATTGTTCAATCAATTAAGGAAAAAGGCGTGTGCGGTTTTGCGCAATAAGGAAATTGTTAAAATTTAATATAAAATTGCAAATTTTAGAATATGAGTTTCCCAACGCTTGCAAAACTATTGCAATGTAAAATTTATATGGAACAATATAGTTTTAATGCTTTAAATTTACCACATTTCCAACGAAATCACGAAACGAAAATTGCTAATTTTAAAAAATATACAGCTACACCTTAGACCCTACTATTTTTTTTTTTTTTTTTTTTCTATAAGAACAAATTTTTCTGTTAGAGTTCATTTCGATGCTGAATAAAAACAGTATATTATATTGTTCATTGGACGAAAAGAGAAGATAATATTTTAGGGGACAAACTAAAAGACATTACTTTCCAACGCGATTGTCAATGTAATTATCAACAATTACCATCCAATATCAATATCTTAAATTTTAACTTTCAATTCTGTTTCGATTTCGAATTATCGCGCCGTTAAAACGTCGAGAATTCGCCGTCTTGCAGTCTTTTTAAATTTACGGAAGGAAAAAAAGAGCAAGAACGAGAGAAAGAAAAAGACGAGGAAAAAGTAATATCAGGCAAATAAAGTGTGCGACAAATAAAATAAAATAAAAGGACAAGAAGGATGCTAGTAGGTGGTGGTGAGCCACGTCGTTAGACCTTCAAGAAACGCGCTGTTTTACCGCGCATAAAGGGCCAGATGGATTTCCCTGCTCTTGGAAATGCAATCGACCGAATCGACATTACGAGAAGCGAGCGATAACCCATTATTTTTGTTTCTCTTGCAGATGCCGCGTGCGCTTGTTGAGCGTTGAGATGGAGGGGACGTTCGGGCGGGTCTACCGCGGCAGCTACCACGAGGAGGGCGCCGCAACACCGAGGACCTACTATAGCTACGCTTGCGCCCCTCCATTCGAATAATTACATCAGACAATATTAGGCAGCGACCGCCCCCCCCCCCCTCCTCCTCCTCCTCCTCCTCACCCCTACCCCTTCACCCCTTTCACCAACCTCTACCTCTACCGTCCACCGTCCACCGTCCACCGTCGGCACCACTCTTCTCCTGTAACGAAAAACGAAACGCGGAAGCTCCGGAGCGACTGTGTGTGAAATGCATTAGTAGGCCCCGCGGGGCTGACTGTATTTGGATGCGCGCGCCTGATTTCTTAATTTTAGACGTTTTGATGGATATTTACGTTCTTACAATGCACGCCCTACATCCCTTATGCAAAAACATTTAAAAAAATGTCTATAATTGTTTATTATTAATCGAGAGCTGTGTAAAGAGCAAACTGTATAAAAAGCAAGGGAAAGCCGATTGCATTGATTGTAATAGTAAGGGGAGGTAGGTGGTTCAAGCTCCGCTCGGCAATTGCCTGTTTGATTGGGTGGAGCTGCCGAAGGGGGAGCGAGGGTGGCGAGAGAGGTGCGAGAGGCCACGCGATCGCCACCTCTTTAGCCAAACCTGCCACCTAGGGGTCTCGTGGCGGTAATTTCGCGCTTCCGCTTTGGGGGAAACGCCGAGAGGAAGTCGACTTAACGCTTTGTGCAAAAACCTGTCGTAGATGGCGCTGCTGCTGCGCGAGGGCCTCGCCCTGTACGGCCTCAGCCATCCGGCCTTACTCCCGGTGATGGGCGTCTCGATCGAGGACCGCGGCGCGCCCTTCCTGCTTTACCCCTACACCGGCTACAGGAACATGAAGAGGTTCCTGTCACCAGCGAGGGTCCGCCCAGGGCTCTCACCACCCAGGAGGTCGTTGAGATGGCCCTCCAGGCTGCCAAGGGCGTTCAGTATCTGCATCGCAAGCGACTCGTGCATCGGGACTTGGCCGCGAGGAACTGCGTGTGAGTATCTTATCGTAGTGAGTGTCTTATGGGTGATGGAATATCGAGCGTATCAGCATTAAATTAGAGAACTCGGCGGAAATTGACGTTGGCGGGGCTGACGATAGGGTGGGAAGGGGTACGGTTCGAGTTTGGTAAATTTGATTGGACTTGAAAAGATATTTCCAAGAACTTACTCTCGCTTCTTATTTTTCAACTGATTTCTCAACTATATTCTCACGTAATTCATATGACAATCATTTTTATCTTTACAGTTTAATTTCTATGAGATACTGTTGGGTTGTGCTGTATATATGTTCAGCAATCAGAATCTAAGGCATGTAGCTACAATTTAATGTTAGGGGGGATATATTTCTTACCTCGTCATCTTCTAACTCTTACGGTGCTATTTCCTCTCGTTCGATAAATTTTAAACATTTATGATTTAGCCGTCGTTTCGTATAAAACGTTGATGATACCTATAATAGACTAGGCGCGAGTACTCGTTTTCATGAAGTATATCGATAAATTGTTACGACTCGTTGTAACTTTGGACTTAACGCTGGAAACAAGCTACAACCGTTCAAGCAAAAAATTTCAAAATAATTACATCGAGTTTTTAATCGGGATTATATTGGTTTATTCACATTTTCCAACATATTAATTTCAAGCTTTGTAATAGCGTATATAATCCTTTAATAATAATAAGAGCAGAAACAACAACAGCAACGGCAACAATCATAATAATAATTGCCATGAGAAACATTATAATTTATATTATAATTCATAATGTAATTATCGGTAAATAAGTACAAAGTAATTATGGTATCGTTAACGTATGTCCCTTCACATATATACATATCATCTATGTATGTATATTAGCTAATGGAATGTCAAAAAAGTATATTATGGTATGGAAGATATAAGATAATCTATCGGAAGCTCTCTAATCTTAATCTCGTACTTTTATTTTTAAAATACGAACTTGAATATAATATTCTTTTCTTTTTTCTTTCTTTTTTTTTCTTTTTTTTTCTTTTTTTTTCCAATGAATTGCAGAGTCGACGATGATCTTCGTGTACAAATCACCGATAATGCGTTGGTGCGCGATCTCTTTCCACAAGATTACTACTGTCTCGGCGATAACGAGAATCGACCAATCAAATGGCTGGCGATCGAGAGCCTCCTGAGCAAATCATTTAGTACAGCTTCGGACGTGGTAAGTTAAATATCATCGTAGAACTTTCATCTACGACTTTTTGAATAATATGAGGGAATAGTAAACTTTTATTTGAGTCGCGTTGACGATAAGCTGCACGATACGATAAGATCAATCCAATAAATACACAATCATTGCAAACTATTGTTCCCTCTCTCTCTCTCTCTCTCTCTCTCTCTTTCTCTCTCTATTTCTCTTCCCTAATATCAAATTTACGCGTTCGCTAAATATTATTGGAGATAATTATGGCACTGACTAGATGGATTGTATTTTACGTATCCAAAAGTCCCCTTGTAATGACTTGTAATGTTTATGAGAATATAATCTTCGCGTCGTGGATCGCTGAACAAAAATGTTTGAAATCACAGTAAACAGTTACCTTTTTATTAGGTAAAGGCATCGAAGCCACGCAGATAAGCAATTAAAATAATCAGAGTAAAGAATTCAGCTTATATTCACACGACCGGATAAATTTAATTTATCATTGAATTTTCCCTTTAAATTCTTCCTCGGCTACGCGCGATATTAATAAATTACATACGCTTGAATCTTATTATCAACCAATAAGAAATTAATTCGTCAAATCGATCGATCAATCATACGAGTAATTCATATAATTAAACGACAGCCCATGAAGCGCTCGTCTCATAGAAAATGGAACGCAAACGTTAAAACGAATCGAGTCGATTGCAAATGAAGAGTACTCCAAGTTTGGCATTGCCAATGACGTCCCACAACTATCGGTCTCGACTCCATCTTTATACTTTTTACGTAAAAGTACGCGTTTTGCCCTTACCCCCACGATATATGCCTGACTCGCAACGCTTTTCTAGTGGGCGTTCGGTGTACTTCTCTGGGAGCTAACGACCCTCGCCCAGCAGCCTTACGTCGAAGTGGACCCGTTCGAGATGGCGTCGTACCTGAGGGACGGTTACCGGCTCGCCCAGCCGGTCAACTGTCCGGACGAGCTCTTCGCGGTGATGGCCTACTGCTGGGCGATGTCCCCGGACGAGCGACCGACCTTCAGCCAGCTGATCGTCTGCCTCCAGGAGTTCCACACCCAGCTCACCAAATACGTTTAGACGGAGAGAGAGAGAGAGAGAGAGAGAGAGAGAGAGAGAGAGAGCGAGCGAGAGAGAGAGAGAGAGAGAGAGGGCAGGGGGGGTCATGCTAGTTAAGTGATAGAGAAGACGGAATGTCAAGTAAGGGGGAATAGTCTCGAGGGTGCCTGGCGGGGGGCTTAGTTTTTCTTTAATTTCTCTCGTCTCTTTCAACTTTACTCTCTATAAATGGGAATTCCCGTGTGTATGAAACGCCGTCGAATTTTATTGTCCCATAAGCGGGGTGCGCGACACTCTTTTATCCTCATTGAAAGTAAAATCTTCGCTATAATCTGAACTATAGGAATAACGTTAATGATGCGATACGCTTGCACGAGACGATTATGTAGAGTGAATAATTATTAAAAAAATTTACCTTGACATTATCCAATTCGCATGTTATGTAAGCTGCGTTTCTAAATCGTGGATCTATTAATGAGCCAGTAGTCTCTTCCCTGTTAACGTATAAATCGTACGTTTCAAAAAAAAAAAAAAAAAAAAAAATAAATAAAAAATAAAAATAAAAACAAAAACAAAAATAAAGCACAAAAATTTGCTTACCGTTAGCGCACCGAATCTCGTTATTGCACTGACATTGTTGTTGATTCATAGTTTAGATAGAAAGCAATGTTCTATTATTCAATAATCTCTAGAAAATCAAAACAAATCTAAAATAAAAGAAAAAAATAAGAAAAAAAAAACAAAGTAATCAGCTTAGGAAAAAATGTTATTGCATGTTGATCGTTAATAAATAAGTAAGTTCCCGCCCCCTTTTAACAAAGTGTAGCGCGACAGATTGTAAGGATCTTGAAATACTTGATTAGTTTTAAGCATAAAAATAAATAACAACAACAACAGCAACAACAAACAAAATGAACAAGAGCTTAAATAAAGTAGGAGAATATATCGAGAGTGTTATAAAAAAAAAGAAAAAAAATCAAAAAAAAAAGAAAATCGAATCAACTATAAAAGATAGAGAGATTCATTGGAAAGATTGGTAATATACTTGAAAAAAAAAATGGAGATATTATTTAATATTTTATTATAAATATGGAATCCGAACGATTTTGGACTATTGACATGCTACGCCCACGGCAATTTCTATTTTATTTCACCTTAGCCGCTCGGCCTATTAATAATAATATCTTCGCCAAAGTATTAAAACGACATCGTGATTTGTCTTTGCGCGTGTAATTAACTCCGAGCTTGTAAATATTTCTAGCCCGACTTATTTACCAAACTAGGGACTTTTATATATATATATATATATATATATATATATATATAAATTTGTGACGTTCAAGGTTCGATTCTTTTAACGTTTATTTCGATATTTTAACTTTGTTGAAATTGGCGACACCGACGTCATGCTTTTACCGAAAGGCTCGTTGATCTCACTAATGACTAAATCGACACGACAAGCAGCATGACTTTTGTTTAAATGGCCGGCACCTCGCTTGCCTCTACATGAACATCTTCGAACACTGTTGTCAAATTCGTACGTGCCAATACTTTCTTTTGTATTTTTGTACATACGTAGATGAGATGTAAGAGCCGGGGCGTAGCCAAACTGCCGACAGCGACGCGCATTCGCCATTTCCATTCCAGTAAAGCGACGCTCCCAATAAAGGAAGCGATCGATCGATCGTTGGATTTTTGTTTGTAAGTGCGCGCGAGCACCAGTCGTCGTTTCGAGCCAACCACTCGATCAAAGTGTTAATTAATCACAAGGGCAAAGAATTGGCGGGGCGGGGATGGAGGAGAAAGGTGAGGTCGCGTGATGCTTGATGATGGCACCCGAACTCCTTGCATTCTCCAGTCCCGTCGTCGCGTTCACGTTGCCCTCCCATCTCGGCATTAGCCGAGCCACGCGATCCCTCGCCCCGTTTACACCCGATTACATGTAAATAGCCACGAGCTAGCGTCTAATTATAAATGCCTGTGTACATAGATGAATAAAAAATACCGCATTGAGCGCACAAGCCGGTTGGTCGTTCTATATCTGTCCGTCGCCATTACCTTGGCCTCTCTCGCAAAACCACGAAAGGGGCCCCATTAATCCATTTTAACTCCAACCCTACCCCCGTTCACCATCCCCAAACGAGGAGGAAGAAGCGCGCGCGCGTGCCGAGGGCGGGCATTTCGAATTTCCCCGAAAGAGCCGACAAAATTAATGGCCGACACGACGGACGACCTCATGCTTAAAATGACTAACGACTAGCCAAGCTCCGCGCGAAACCGGATATCCAACGCGAGGGGGGTAGGGGGGGGGGTTATGGAAGGAGAAGACGCGCGACCGGAGCCATCCAATTAGAGAATACCGCATTAGCCGAGGGAGCGGAAGCTACGCTCGTGTTTGCTTTTCTCCGTTTGCTCGCGCTTGTTCAATGTCGAGCGACGTAGCGATCCGAGCTGCTCGCGTCCAATCGTATAATCGATATTTATTTTTCTTTCTTCGATCGTCGGCTATTCTTGTCTACCGTTTGATAATCGACGGCCGCCCATCCGTTGGATTCCGTTGGATTTCGTTGGATTTCGTTGGATTTCGTTGGATTTCATTGGAGGTAGTTGCGTCTGAATTGGAAGGATGCCCAATTTCTCTCGCTGCAATGTCCAAATGAACGAGCGATATCTTATAAACAATGACGGAACAATCGCGCAAGGGCCGCCTCGGTCGTAAAACGTAGGGTTGCGAATAAACGCGGAAAGATCAAAGGTAGCCGGGACGGGCGTATTCCCTGTAATCAATGCGTTCTTCGCGTCATACACGATGGAGCGCAGGAGAATGATACGTAGTGGGACAATCGAAGAATTCTCGAGTGTCCAGGGTATGGGGGGAGGGCCGGCAGAGGTTGGCATGCGCGAGGCGGCAAGAGCCGCGTCTCGTCGGGAAGATCATCGGTAAGGGCATAAAGAACGAGGCGGTTTAGGGAATGATAAAGGAGAGGGACACACGTAGCGGAGGCTGAGTTGGAACACGAGCCACGCGAAGATGTAGTTAGATGGAGCTCGTCACGGATCATTAGTCGAAGCGAGCGATCTCTTCGTCATTTCGTGCGCGATGGCCGAATGGAGCCTACAATGCTTCCTGCGAGCTATAATTTTTCCCTTTTTCTCTTCGACTTTGGTTGCTTCGTGCTTTTTGGAGATCGTCGCCCGTTATTTACGTGCCTGTAAGAATCTTTCGCTTAATTACTTGGCGAATCATGCACTTCAGCTGCGTTTTTACGCGAGCGCGTATGTTACTAATGTAATATTTAAATTGCTACGCTTCTTGTTGTTTTTTTTTTCCTTTTCTTTTTGTTTGTTTATCTTTGCCATTCGGGTATTCAAATTGTACGCCCACAGTCCAAATGCATCGTCGCGGCAATTCTTAAGATATTGATGAAAGTTGATTACGATGTTTCCAAAGTGAAAACTTTCGTTTCACTCTCGTTACAAGCTTCGTTATGCGATTTCAAGATGCGCGGTTTCAGCTAATTACGTGTCTAAAATAATATTTATTCTCACATTTTGCAGGCTGCATTGAGCTGAGATATTTGTCTATTTTCTTGGTATTTTTTTTTTTTTTCATTAATAGTTTGTCGTTTTAACAAATTTATCGATTAATTTGAAATTTTATTGGCATTTATTTACTATCTGGGAAATGCGATGTTTGATATCAATTGTGGAAGAAAGAATTGTCAATAAAATCCTCGAAATTATGCCTTGCAATGTGTTAAAAAAAAAAAAAAATCTGCATTTACATTGTTTTTCTGAAGGTAAGTTGATATTATTTCTTTCGTAATTTTAATTATTTGATATAATTCGAAGTAACGTTGATAAATTAAAATAAATACAAAAGCATATGGGCAATATATGATCACATCGTTTCATAATGTTTAATTAATAACATTAAATAACGATTCGTTAATTCATTTTATTTGAAATGTTTACACGTTATAAAAATGCATATGATAGTACATACAATTTCAAGCGAACAATAAAAAAAAAAAATCTAAATTCCTTACATATAACTTTCCTCTTTAATGTCGTCAAATTATTATTATTATAATGACACTTTGGACTGACATGTAATCCATAATATATTAGCACGCGAGGAGCATCGAAGTTACTCGAGTTATTTATTATTGTGACGGAATTATTTTTATTCCATCTTGTACTTGTTGTCGAGTACTGTTAAACAATTAACTATCCTTATCCATAACAACGTGTTATGAAAATTGTTTCAAACACTTGCCAATACAGTTCAAATAAATTATAAATGATTTATCTGATTATTAAGGATTCCAATGATTAAGGAGTTATAAAATGCCCAATATTTCGGCCCTTCCGTTCTCAAGACCGACTCACGACCAATTCTTATCCCGTTAAAATGCACTTATAAATTTTGTATTAATAGCGAGCAATAAAAGCACGCTTATCGCATTTTGGCCGAATGTCGTTATTGTTCTGCATCAAGCACATTATGCGTCAGTTGTCAAGCGAAAACAATAATAAGCAATAAAAAAAAACGGCTTAGCTTTTGACGGCCGATTTTTACAACATTCTAGTAACTAGGCGCTAACCATTAATGGCCATGTTGACTATGCGAGATATACGCGCCAATAAAAACAAGCTCAACGCGTTAAGTGTCATTTCGCGGGCGCGCGTGCGCGCCCGCTATGCCGCTTATCCCGCGGTAAAAAGCAATTCAAATGGAAAAACAATGTTTAAAATAAAACAAGCCGTTTATAAGCGGCCGATAATTTTCGCGTTTGACGCTTTTCAAAATATTTTTATTGCCTCTGTACGTGCGCGATTAGAGCGGGCGCGCGTAGCGGCCTCAAGATCATGATAGCGCAGCCGTAAAGTCGGCCCAGTCCCGCTCCAATCCCCCGGCAAAGTAACGCCCTGCCCGGCAATTCGCTAAAGCCGTTAAGTCGCCGACAGCGGCGCCAGGTCCCTCGCATCCTACCGGCTAATTCATGTGATCTCGCCAAAGCGTCTTGGCTGATCTGTACTTTAACCGCGACA